GTTGACATAGCTACCTCGACGTCATCACAAGTTGTTTGTTGAAATTTGAGTCAACAGACATTGTAAGCGGAAATAAACATGAAAATCCAAAATTTCCCTTGGATTTCAAGGCAAATATTAAGACAATGATTCCAATCACAATTTTTCCTATAAACATGTACTCAAGGTAAATTTTCCGATACTATTCATGTTCTCTCAAGATGAGTGAACTCATAAACATGTACTCAAACAACAAAAGAAAAGAAAAGAACAGAACAGAGTGAACTGGAAAGTACAAACTACAATGGAAATGGAAAAAATGAAAGGGAACCGAGTCCATTTTCAAAACAAAGTTATTTGGTCACACAGAATATGTGAACTGGTGATTTTCCAACAAATTCATCACTCAGAATCAGGTGAACAGCAGAAAAAGAATGTGAATAAAATATATCCAAAGAAAAATAATATCAATATTGATTTAAAGCAATGAATGGCAAGTTTTTTCTAAGATGACAAGTTACTAACAAGTAATAACGTCTGTGTATCCACCAATACATTAACCAAATTAATAATTTTATCTCACGGGACAACACTCGGTATTACGCCATCCTTTTCTTTTCTTTCCCACAGAGAAACAGGCAAAATATTGCAAATCATTATGAAACTTAACTACTTTCAGCACTAAATGTTCCATATATACAATAAGTCACGTAGCAAGACTAAAGTCCAATCTTTGACTATCAACAGAACTATGCTCCTAAGCAATCAAAATACGAAAGACCCGAGAATTCTTGTGTCCTACAATTTAGTAAAGTGATAGTACTCATATAAATGGGAAACCTAGAGGAAAATCGTATTAAAGAAGGAAAACTAAGAAGCTAAAATGTTGTCTACAGTACTTTCCTTCCATGTCAAGTAACCAAACATGCACTTATAAGAGTGTAAATTTAGAGACCCCCCATGATACGGAAAGGTGAAAAAGGATCCATACGGCTGATCCCAATATAAGTACGGGATACGGTAGAGTTGAGTTTTACTATACATAACACTGATTATATCCACAGTAAATCACCATCATAAAAAATTCAACTCAAAATCACAAACTTGCAAGAAATTCAAGAAGAGTATGAACCCTGCTTAAGTACTGGTTGCTAGCCTGTAGCAGATTGAAATATTTGGGGAATTGAAGTAAAAAAGGATCACTAAGATCATAGTACTTACAAAATAAATTTATCTAAACATAAACAAACATACAGGGGGAAATAAAATACTCAACTGCAATTTGGGCACGTCAGCATGAACAATAGCTTGCATTTTTTTCTTAGACTCTTACTACCTCTATGATCTTTTGTTGCAGGAAGTAAGTGGGTTATGCTGATTGGGATGGGAAAAAATCTTAAGGAATATCAATCTACACGTATCAAATATACCTGTAAACAAGAGAACAGAAAACTTCACCGTCAAGTGAAAACAAGAATTGATAACAATTGCCAATTCAGAATCTATTACAAATTCAGAGAACCAAAAATATGCCTTAAGTAATACAAGCAGTAAGCAACCAATACATGAATGGTTCTTAAGCAGGGGCGGAGGGGAGGGGGTCCCCCCCCCCCCCCCC